CTCACGAACAGCAAGAGACAGCTCCACGGTACAACCTTCGCAAACGAAGACCTACCAATTACGCGGAAGATATCGATGAGCTAGGCGCATTTGGGCAAGGACCATCGCGCAATATGTTTATGATATCGACGTTTCTGCAGTTATCCATAATTCTTCTTCTCGCTTTAACACTAACTGAGGCGAACTTAGTAGCGAAAGTTCAGTCGTTGCGATCCATGATATGTATACCAGGTGGAGTACGGCTCACATCTGAGTACAGAAATGCGTACGAAATTTGTGCAGACCAGTACTGTGTTCACGTTGAAGAACCACAATACAGTGAGAACATATCATTCCCACCGGAAATCATACTACATGAACACTCAGTACAATGGAAGTTTACGGACAATGAAACTGTCGGTACCATGGAAATGACTTGCCCTCCCGGTCCATTCTGCCAGTCAATATCGTGCACCTTTTGCTCAGCAAATATATTAAACCCCGAATGCTGGCCAAAAAGCGCTATTCTTGCAACAACAATCATGTTATACTGCTTAATCACAGGATGTTACGTCTTCCTGTACGTTCCAATAGTTCTCGGTCATCCAGTAAGATTCGCTGGCCGCATAGCTTGGGCAATAATCAAATGGGCGATTCGCGGTTTTCTATCCGTGAAGGGTAGACCAAGAAACTTCCCTCGACGGCGTTTGGTAGAAATTATTGCAATATCAACAACAGTCCTCAATATAGGATTGTCCCATCAATGCCAGGAAGTTAATCTCTTCACTCATCACTCCATTATCTGCGCAGGTGGGCCAGACAGTAGTTGTCGAGTACAGCTATCGGAGGTGTTTAAAATAAACCCCTTCAAACGGGAAGCATGCCTTCGTTTGTCGCAAAATGATACGGTAGTACATGAAGTAAGGATGCGGTGGAAATCGTTACTGCTTTCCTGCGAACCAGTGACAGACCTCTTCACTCGAGATACGGTTCATAAGGTAATTGATAGTAAACGCTGCCCGCATAGCGGATCCTGCACAGGAGAGAAATGTGCGGACATTAATGCTTCCAGCTTACTACCCGAACTAGCACAAGGAAACCAATATCCAGGCAATACCGCATGCGTAGAATCTTGTGGTGGCCCGGGGTGTGACTGCTTTTTCTTGAGTTCGGGATGTCTTTTCTATCGAATATACTTAGAGCCGGTCAGTAACGAAGTGTTTGAAATATTTCATTGTAATAGATGGACGGAAGCCGCCAAAGTAGAATTGACGCACTTCGATGACGCAATTGGAGAACCCACATTGACTACGAAACTACTTTTACCCAATGTTCCCGTTCAGTGGAAGGCCTTCACCATTACTCTCACCAATATAGGGTCTCCTCCTATACCTCTGCTTAACACTCAGTTCATCACCAATGGTAAAAGCACAGCTCTTTGGAAAAATAATATCATTCCACCACTGAGATGTGCAAATTTTAGTAACGCAGAGATCCTAGCATGTGATGTATTTGAAGATTGCACATGCTGGCCAGCTGAGATGACGGCTAATTGTAAATGCAGAGACCTTCCAATAACGGCGTGGTTGAGTAAAATCAACAATCTACTACCTGCTACATTCCCATCAATATCGTTGCGAATGCATCCACAGTCGAAAGTGCAGGCAGCAGTTACTAGTATGGTGACTTCAGAAATCATACTGTCATTCCAAGGCACATTGAGGACTGAGATACTAGTGGAAGATGCGATATGTACGGTCACTACAGAGGAACTAAAAGGGTGCTATAGTTGTTCAAAAGGTAGTTCAGCCAAAGTACTATGCAAAGCATCTCGAAACAAAGTCCGGGCTGAAGTTGTTTGTGATTCTGTAGCATTTTCAATACCTTGCAATATCACTGGGATCGCCTCAGTTTTGCGCTTCAGCTTTTCACAAGCACGAAACAACCTTCACTGTTCCGTTTCTTGCGGACAATTAAGCACCTCATTCGAAATAAGTGGCGTTCTTAAGTTTACCGCTTCGGCCCAGGGGATTGTAGAGCAATGGCTGAGGGGAGAGTCAATATCTAACTCAGAAAGCCCCTGGCCTGATTTACGACACATTGCGTCAGTATTTTTGCAGTGGTACAAAACCCTAGCAGCAGCAATGGCGGGGTTAATCATCACCATTGCGCTTACCTATCTATTCTTGCTTACGTGTGGCTCTAAAATTTTGGGGTGGATCCTTCGCACTACGGTAAAAGTTGTCAATACCATAATTAAATCTACATTTATAGGAATTAAGAAAATACTGTGCATTAGGCCCAGAAGGCACAGTAAACAACACTGATCACAAAAAGTTCAATAATTAGCAGATAGCGATATCTACGACCCTCAAATTCCTTGTATATAGCTGTACATTATATATAAGCAATATTAGTTAGCTCTTTACTCCAATATTCTTTCTTTCAGATTCCACGTCATGCCAGAAGAAAGTTTCTACTTCAAAGATTTTTGCTTTCTTGTTGATATTCAACAAAACCCAGTTCCACTAGATCTGAGAATCGATCTGTGCTCGACATGGCAAGAACTCAAAGAGCAATATAAGCAAGCAAAGGAACTGGATGTATCCTGGCTTCGACATCTGATTACCACCACGTGTTCCGATGCCCACCCGGGAGAGCTCGTCCTGCTCACCAATGCCTTTCTCAGGACGGCCATCACAACAAGAGATAGCCTTCTACGACTCGCGCAACGCTTCGTGCTTCTTGACGGAATTTATCTCACGCTATGCCAAGTTGGCAAGTTCACGCAACAAGCTCAAGAGAAATGGGAGAGGGAAAAGGCGGAGAAAAGGATCGATACGAGTAGCGTTATAGTGAAAACCGACAAAACCGTACTAAGAATCGAGAGCATTATCGCTGAAATCGAGTTCGAGATAAGCGAAGCGAAGAAGTCTCTTCACGAGGGTAAATGTCATCTCCAAAAACCATCTGCAAGTGACGTGTGTGAAAGATCCTGTGTGAAACCCGAAGAAGAAGAAGAAGTGAAAGATTTCGAAATGGTGGAAGTGGAAGATGATCCTGGAGATCACAATATGGAGATCGAGGCGCAAGTTGGACCAGATCGCTTCACAGAAGAGCAACCAGAGAAGCGACAAGAAAGCTCAATCGCTCAAGAACTTTCCGATGAAGACTACTTTATTTCAGCTAATTCGTGAAAACTCTGGAGAAGAAGAAGAGCAGGAGATCAATACTCAAAAATGTGAAAACTCTGGAGAAAACGAAGAGCAGGAGATCAATAGTCAAGAAAGCTCACACGACGACTATCAACAAAAGCGCTCAATTCAAGATATCTGTAAAGACCTCGACGATTTGGAGCGTGGTCTACGTCTACTCCCCACACGACGAATCACAAAAAGTTCACCAGGTATCAAGCCTTGGGTCAGATGCGCCTTCTGCAGAAGACGAGGTATACATTACTCTGATTCATGCCCTGACTTTCCCGATGGCGACCAGCGATACCGCCTCATCCTACAAGACGACAGGTGTGTCTACTGTCTAGAAAGGTGCAATCCATACGTGGAATGCCGTGAAAAAGGAAGGGCGTGTTGGTATTGTGGGATAGTAAAAAACACAATACTGAAGTTCCTCATCCCAAGAGACAATGGCCACCACCGTTCGTTATGCACTATACCAAATTCGAAGGGATGGATAAGAAACGTCATCGACGACGTCAGACAAGAGCTGCATGAAGCGTCAAAGTTGGGCAGTACCATCTCTTCCGCCCCGGGAGTGTAGCAAAAGCTACAGTTAATCAATTACGAAGTCTTCGATTTCTGTGAGTCACCGATCGGCTT